GTTTTAATGGGTTTTATTGGGTTTTAATTGAGTTTCACCTTAAAACTACATTCTAGAAGTTAAATACATCTCCTATACGTTAGAAGGCGTTATCTCAATTCATTCTAAAGTAGTCTATTTCATTACTATTCTAGTGTATGAAAATTCGGAACAAATCAACAATTGACTCCATCCTTTAGCATCACAGATTTCAAGTGTTATAAAACAAAAATAATTTCCGAATAGATACAAATTCCGAATTATTTTTGTTAAGTTATTACTTAAAACTAATAAAACCTAATAAAACCCATTTAAACCCAATAAAACCCATTAAAACCCATGGGTTTTATAATTTTTGATTAAAACCCTGGGTTTTTCCGAACCCTGATTAAAACCTTAAAAAACACAACCCTGCGTCGGAATAACCTGAATCCAATCCACAGGAAAAGTAGTGACTCCGGGCTCGTGGAGAAAGTTGGTGGATGACATGTAAATGATGTAGCTTTCACCAAACGTAGGATTTATGAATTTCGTTCTGAGATAATAATGAATTTATTCACACATATTTGTTACACATATGTAATTCTATACAAAAATGAACACATCTTACACATTATTTACGCTGTTGGCTACCGACTAGTTTTTTTTACCGTGTACAATTTTTATATATGTACTTAAAAAGTAAGTAAGTAGTTAAATTTATATGATAAAAAATGGATTAAATTGTTAACTAAATGAGCAGAAAGGTATGGTTTTTAATGTATTTAAGGTGGGATTCGATGACTCATGGCCAAAATGGTGAAAATATACACGTTTGTAATCATTTCTCCGCTCTGGGAATTTATTTTAAAATTCTGAATGACAAATTTTTAGAGCATGGAATATCCAATTTTTTTAAAAATATGCACTCCAGATTTTGACACTTTTTCATGGAGGAGATCTTAAGTTTAAGAAACCTTCAAAAAAATTGGAACTCATCGAAACTGGTGTAAAAAACTCACCGCTATTTTATTAATCAACTTACTGACTACACATTTGTAGTTCAGAATTTTAAAATAAATTCCAGTGCGCAGAAATGATTAAAAATGTGTTAATTTTGACCATTTTGGCAATACGTCGTCGAGTACTACCTTAAAAAATGGGAGGGTTGCATGGTTGGCTGTGGTCAAGATGGACATAGGTTTTAGGTAACGGTTAAGGTTATTGATTCGGTTTTTTGATCCAAGGGTTACTATTTAGATAGGTATTTGGTGCAGAATCCGTTTGTATATAGGTTTTAGGTAAGTCTCAAAATTTCAAAACTCTGTGAAAAAGTCTTTCAAAATTTCAAAATCACGTCTTTTTCGATATTGTATGTAACAGGTAAAAAAGATCCAGGTGCAAAAGGTAGAGGTTCAAAATTCAATTAAAAATTTGATCCAATTGAAATATAGGTATGTATGTAATTGGTCTCCAAAATGCGTTGATTTCAGTGGCCGCGGAAGCGTGGGGACAGTGGGGCAATATGTTCATATTTGATGACCCGATCATTCCCAATTTGATATACCCCTCCCTCCCATTATCCTACAATCCTAATGTCCCCACAGCTTCCGCGGTCATTGGTTGATGATTTAGCAAGTATTTTAATCCGGTTTTGCCAAGGTAGATACATAATTCTTAAATTCGGGAATCAACCCTATCAATCAGTGGCCACGGAAGTTGGGGGGGGGACATATGGGGTCATTAGCATTCTGAGATAGGAAAAAAGATGGATTTATACAGGGTTCGGAAAAACCCAGGGTTTTAATCAAAAATTATAAAACCCATGGGTTTTAATGGGTTTTACCATGTTAATTGGGTTTTATTTGGGTTTTAATGGGTTTTATTGGGTTTAAACGGGTTTTATTGGGGTTTATTAGTTTTATGTAATAACTTAACAAAAATAATTCGGAATTTGTATCTATTCGGAAATTATTTTTGTTTTATAACATTTGAAATCTGTGATTCGGAAATTATTTTTGTTTTATAACATTTGAAATCTGTGATTCGGAAATTATTTTTGTTTTATAACATTTGAAATCTGTGATGCTAAAGGATGGAGTCAATTGTTGATTTGTTCCGAATTTTCATACACTAGAATAGTAATGAAATAAACTGCTTTAGAATGAATTGAGATAACGTCTTCTAACGTATAGGAGATGTATTTAACTTTTAAAATGTAGTTTTAAGGTAAAACTCAATTAAAACCCAATAAAACCCATTAAAACCCAAATAAAACCCATTTAACATGGTAAAACCCAGTGGGTTTTATTCATTTACAACCCATTAAAACCCATTAAAACCCAATAAAACCCAACCCATTAAAACTCAGGTCGGAATACCCTGATTTATTAACATAGGATTTTTATAAATTTCTATAGGTTCAATGTCCCCCTGCTTCCGCCGCCACTGCTATCGATTGATAAACTAGTTAGTAATTGATTTAATGATAACACGCTTTTTGTCCACACTATTATTTCTGCACATTCAATCAATCCGATTCAATTAAGGTGAAAATTGTCGCAAAAAATGGGTGGAATTGGCAAATAAGTGAAAGAAAGAGAGAAGGCGGAGCAATTTTTGTGATCTTCTTTAAACTATTTCTTTCGAGGTAGGGAATCAATTTTGATTCGGAGCTTTTTCAGCCATTGAGTAAAATAGTAATGATTCTCGGTTGGGTGCTCTTTATTCATTGAATAGCTCTTTGAAGTCTGCTTGGTTTGATTCCTGTGAGATTTGAATTGAACATTCTTCTTCTTCTTCCGTGCTTCTTGGATGGCTGGCTGGCTTTTGCTTATACAGAAGATGTGGAGGAACAGTGACGGCGGAAGTTGGAGTGGGGGACACGTGGGGACGCTAGTATTGTGGGATTGGAGGAAAAGGAACGTATTGACTAAAACATTTTTTCAAGCTACACCACGATTTTTAGCGAGTTATTTTAAAAAATAGAGTCAAAACTTAGGAACCACGTGACACTTATGTTTCCGTTGAATGGTGCTTTTCAAGAAATATAGACGTTAAAGTTCAAAGTCCGCCCTAGTTTTCGCTCTGTGGTTGAAAAATTTGCTCAAAAATTGAAATTTGCCGCCAATATTTTTCTTCGAAATGGCCATTCAACAGAAACAAAAGTATCACGTGATTCCTAATTTTTGGCTCGATTTTTTGATATAACTCGTTATAAAAAAGGCGGTGTACCTTGAAAAAAGATTCCATTGTGAGTACGATTTCGCCGATTTTCCTGGAGGACAATGTCCCCTTGCTTCCGCCGCCAATTTGCCTGGAGAAAGGCAGGTTCACCCGAATCCATGACTTTTGCTGATGCAAATCTCTAATTTGGAGACGATTTCGTCACATTTCTTGCAACATTTCAGTGGGGGATTGTTTAGCCAGACTTGTAAAGAATATGGGCAATTTCTAAATAGTGCTGATTCTCGACAATTGAAGGGAGTTAAGGTAATTGAGTTATAGATTAATGGGAGCAGATCAGAGTAAATGGAGCAATTCGTTTCATTTCATTGACGGAGGAAGTGAATCAGGGAAAGCAAATTTAAGCAACATAATTACGTAATTAGTTAGTTTACATATTCAATATGAAAATTATTAGACACGCTGCACCAATTTTTTCGTTGTTTGCAGCAGCATAATCACCAACATTTAGTTTTCTAAAATGTTATTTTTAGTAAGTAATTCCTAAATTCCTGCAATCTCAGCATCATCAATCCTTTAGGAGCTTTTGAGCAATTATTTTCACAACCCCAGCAAACATTCTAAAAGTCATAAGGACTAACTCTGAGGTGCGTGTGACTTATAACACACCAAAAAATTAGTTCCCATACTTGACGGCTGAACTTCATTCCTTACAGAGTTAATTAATTAATTAATTAATTAATTGCTAATAATTAGATTTAATCAGTGATTACCCCACCTGGGAAAAGAATGTTTATAACTATATCTCAAACATCAAGATTAATAGAACCTATTAAATAGAAAAGTAAATTAATTACGTTTAAATTTAATAGCACATGTAGTAATGGGGAGGTTGCGCAAGAGGAATTTTTTGTGATTGTGAGTGTAATTTTGATTGCAAATGTGTTACAGTGATCCATCTACAATACAAAATTACAATCACGACCACGAAAATTTTCTCTTGCGCAACCTCTCTAATAAATCTACTCCATTGTCAAGTTACAGAAATTTTTCTAATAATAAGCACACATCTTACGAGAATGGCCATTCTTATAATTCTTAATAATATTTATGCATGATTAGCTGCTGTATTTATGTATAATCGAGTGAGTATTAGTAGGTCGATCCGGTTCCCCATCGTCTTATATGTAGAGTTGATAAAATTCTTTTGTATTAAACTACATACATGTTTTAAATTGTGAATATTATTTATATATTTATGTACCTGGAAGATAAGTATTTATGTAATTTGTTAACTTTGGTCTCGTATTGTTAGAATATTATGTGTTGTGTTGTGTCGGATTATGAAAGAGATGATGATGTGCAATATATATTTATATTTATATATTTGTGGAAGGATGCAGTTGGTTAGTACGGGTAGAAAAAATGGTCTAAAATATAAACTGTGATTTATACGGAGAAGAGATTGTAAAAGATTATTTTTAAGAGGTTTTTTGTTACAATAATAAAATGGTTGGTGTGGTGCGGTTCGATTCATTTTTCTGTTTAGGTTTCAGGTTTGTCTAGCCTTTGTAAATGTGTAAGCTAAATGAGGGAGGAATCCCAGCAGATGTTCTCCGATTTTGAGCAAACTAATGGAAATCAAGCATAAATTTAATTAGGACGAAATTTGCGAAAGACACGATCTCCCCATGGGCACGTTTGGCAGAGATATTTGCATCCGAAGAGGAGAAAGCGCGCGTTAAAGTCGACAAATCTTACACTTTCCAAATTTACTGCGGGTTTTCTCCTCTTCGGATGCAAATATCTCGGCCAAACGTGCCCATTGGGAGATCGTGTCTTTCACAAATTTCATACTAATCAAATTTGTCCTCGATTCCCACTAGATTTCGCAAAATCTGAGAGCATCCCCTGGGAAACCTCCCTTGTAACTACTACTTCTCAGAAGGATAATAAAGGTACGTAATATCCCGAAATAATTGCTTCATAAAAGAAATATCATAAATTACCGGCTCGTTTAGAGCTCAATTGGTTTCTCCTTCTCCTAAACTCGCCGTTTTAATCAATTGCCCCCTTAAGTCTAGACTCTTGGGACCATTTCACTCCCTCCTAAACCTAGCTAAGATTAAGTGCGATAGTGGCAGTCAGACATCGAAACAAATGTCTTCATACTTTGGTGGGTATTGACGTCCTTCCCGCATGCTGGACCTTGATCGGGACCTCGTCGGCCCACTACTTTCTCCTCCATCCCGACTTTCCCTTTCTCTCAGGGAAGACTGGCGAAACGTTTCCCGCTTCCGGCGCGACTGGGCTGACCGTTGTTGAGCGAGGGGCGACGGTGTCGGCTGGACTGCAAAGTCAGGTACTGGAATTCTATAGATGGGTGGAGATGACGACCCCCCCGACTGCGGGTTGGGCGACGGGGCCGGGGCGGGTGGCGGGGGTGCAGGCAAACTGTGGTGATTAGCAGCTGTATTGCTGTACTGAGCAGATATCACGTCTCGAGAGGTGGATGTGTACAGGCCTGGACCACTCGCCGCGGCGGTGAGGTATTCCTCCACCGTGAGGCCTGAGAAATACGGAGTGAATGAAAAAGAGAAAGCAGGAAGAAAGTTTTAGTCTTACAATGGAACCTTTTTTCAAGCGAATCCGGGATTGTGTAATGCCCGGTTTATACTTTCAATAACATGGTTTGGATGGCAATAATTTCCCTATCCCTTCCATGTTATTGAGCTGCGAATGGCGAAGGTATAAACCGGGCGTAACGAGTTATAAAGAAAATCAAGACAAAAATTATAAATCACTTGGCGCTTATCTTTCCATTAAATGACCGCCTTGAAGAAAAATTGTCGCGCCAAATTTTAATTTTTGGGCAAATTTTCTCTCGCTTTTTCTTCCATGGGGTGAAAAGCAGGTCAGACGTGTGAACTTTGTGCTCATTTATCTTTAAATGGGTCGTTCAAGAAGAATTGTAAGTGCCACGTGATTCCTAATTTTTGGCTTGATTTTTTACATATTAATCGTTCTAACGGTTTATCTAACAATGTCGGTGTAGCTTAAAGAAAGGTTTTATTTTAAGAGTATTGTACTCTTAACAACCAACTCTTTGTGTGAATGGAGAGTACGCGGGGTGAAGCAAATTTTCGGCACCATGTAGCATCCAGAATGGACATGAAAAACCAAATTGAAACCTCGGCACATTGTAGAAAATATTAATTAAAAAATATTTTCTCTATACAATTTTTCGAAATCTTTCATTTCTGACCTTTTATTAATGGGTCAAGTCCGCATTATGATTTCTTCAGAACGGATGCGAATTTCGACATGTGGTTTTCACCGTCAACGTCAGGGCGAAATCTGAGCGCTTTTGGTGAAAATCGCATCTCGAAATTCGCATCCGTTCTCAAGAAATCATAATGCGGACTTGACCCATTAATAAAAGGTCAGAAACGAAAGATTTCGAAAAATTGTATAGAGAAAATATTTTTTAATTAATATTTTCTACAATATGCCGAGGTTTCAATTTGGTTTTTCATGTCCATTCTGGATGCTACATGGTGCCGAAAATTTGCTTCACCCCGCGTACTCTCCATTCGCACAAAGAGTTGGTTGCTAAGAGTAAGAGTATCTAATAATAATGGGCGTACTCACGACAACATCTTATTTCGCATTGCAACTCATTCAACAAACTAGCGAACAACAAAATAATTCTGTTTTGTGTGGATTCGCAAAATATGACTTCGCAAATCTACTCAAAATACCAATTTTAATATTGTTTCCATGGATTTCTGTAATTCTCTTGCTGGTGATGGTGAGGATGAGTTTGCGAGATAATAAGATGGCAAATTGCGAAAAAAATCCCATGGTTTTCCAGCAAAATTTTTGCGAAATCTTGCAGATCTCGTAAAACTTCTTAAGTTTTGTTGCTCTGCTCAATTTGCGAGTTACATATGCGAAGGTTGACGTGAGTACATCCAATATCTAGAGGGGAAAAGTCCATGGTGAATTTTGAAAATAACAACTTTTTGTGTTCCCATAACTCTGATAAGGGTGCAATAATTTTTTGCATAACAAGTATAGTGTCACATGGTTTCAAAAAAAATATTTTTTACCTATTTTGAACATAAAAAAGTGACCGCAAATCTGCGAAAAATGTATACTTATATAGGGCCTCCTCAGACACACGAAAAAATCGTCGCTTCGAATTTCGCTTTGTTTTCCGCTTTTCGATAGCAGAGCAGAAATTATGAAAATTGCTAAATTTTGTTCCGACTTCAGCTAAGCGACCTTAACCCCACTTCTGAGTTGAGTTTCTGGTCGCTTACCCCAGAGCTCGCTTATCAGGAAACAAGCGAAAAACTAAGCGAAATTCGAAGCGACGATTTTTTCGTGTGTCTGAGGAGGCCCATAATTTCATCCAAAATCCAAATTTGTGCATGATTGTTTATGAAACTATATGAAATTGTTGTTACACAAAAAATTATTGCACCCTTATTTTTTGTCTGTACCAAAACAAAAAAAGGTGCTGATTTTGGGAGTTTTTTTACTCTAGATAGTGGGCCTCCTCAGACACACGAAAAAATCGTCGTTTCTAATTTCGCTAAGTTTTTCGCTTGCTTCCTGATAAGCGAGCTCTGGGATAAGCGAACAGAAACTCAACTCAGAAGTGGGGTTAAGGTCGGTTAGCTGAAGTCGAAACAAAATTTTACAATTTTCATAATTCTTGCCATGTTATCGATAAGCGAAAAACAAAGCAAACTTCGAAGCGACGATTTTTCGTGTGTCTGAGGAGGCCCAGTATTATTATTAGATACTCTAATGTTTTAATCATTACTTGGAAGAAGAATCGGGAATGGATTTTTTTCTCTTCTCTCTAATCACTAAAATGGAGAAAGTAACTCTAAATTATAGTGACGTGCACTCACTCACCGTGGTTTTCTGCCAACATGGCACATCTTAAGTATGGGTCCGGTTGCGGACTTAGGATCGCGACGGGGCTGTTTTGTAAGTAGTTGGCGTAGTTCCAGGCGGGCATGTTGGTGCTTGGTCGAGAAACTGGCTGGTCAATTATGTCTATTAGCTGCAAATCACACACCCAATTTATTAAGAAGAGGAACTAAGAGTGATAATATTTTGTTAAAGAAGCGGAGAAAGCAGAGAAAAGGATAGCGGGTGACGAGAATGTCGTTGGAATGCAGTGGTTGCCAGTGGCCGCGGAAGCGTGCGGACAGAGGGGGCAATGTGTCCACGATTATTTGACGTTATTATCATCCCCTCATGTTATATAAACCCTTTCCTGCTTTATCATACAATATTAATGTCCCCTCTTGTCCCCATGGCTCCTGCGCCCACTGCATGTACATGCTCCATGGTGATACTAGTAATGCCAAACTAACGGTGGCCGCGGAAGCGTGGGGACAGAGGGGACAATGTGACCACGATTATTTAATGTTCTCCCCATGTTATATAAACCACTCCCTCCCCCATCCTACGATATTAATGTCCCCCATGTCCCCATACCTTCCGCGGCCACTGCTGGCCTTTGGTATGCTTTGTTCTACCATCTACTCACAACCACGCTGCTTTCACACCAACCCTTTGAAGCTAATTACTTCCAAAATAATTTAAACTTTTTTCCCAGAGAGAAAGCGGAAGGAAAATTACGAATATTTATTACACTGTCGAGATAATGGATGTTTCTTAAAATATGCGCTACGTGTGTGTCAAGCGGGGAAAAAATATGACCTCATAATTCATCCCGTTGCCAGTTTCGTCGGATTATTGCATTATTTCAATCTAATTTTAGAGCCCGGTTAACAATAACCCGGCCCTATTTTGGTGTTTATTAAGTTGCAAGGAAAGCAAAAAAAAGTATGTTAGTTTTTCCCAAGTTTTCACGCTGTTTTACTTTCACCAGAGTTCAACTTTCCCCAACTTTCACCACCAGGTATTAAAACTTTCACCTAATTATACTTTCCTCTACGGAAACTGCATTAAATGCGTGTATTTTGCAAAAAATAGGGTAAAACTAGGTCTTATCTTTAGATGAGGCTGAAACCGCTTACCTTAATGCAGCAACAAATGACAGAGATGAAGAAAAGAAGTCCAAAGAGCGCAAGGTAATAAGGAAAGTACGATGTCATGAAGAACCCACGATCTGCCCGGTGAACAACAAGATAAGATAAGATAAGCTACGACTGCACAATAACACTGCACACTCTGGAAATGTCAACTATAACGCGGACATTTATAATAATCTCACATTTACCTCCGAGAGAGAGAGAGTCAGCAGGAGGAGAAAGCAGCAACAACAGAACGGTGTATTTTTTTTCGTCTGTGAGCAAAATTCCGGTAGAAGAATGGAATACGGAGATCGGGCCGTTGTTTCCTGTTCACACTTTCACTTATTTATTTATCACCGTCGGACCACGCTCGTCGCCTCGCCGTCGCCTTGGTGGACCATTATTCCAATGGCAGTGTCATCTATCGCGCTTACGACACGGCAGCGCATGTATGTTGGCGCAATCTCACTAATAAAATTATGCTGATTGTTCTCCGTGGTGACCGGAATGCAATGAATTTTGCGGTAAAGAGGTGCTCCCACCTTTTTTCATGGTAACACGATTGTGTCACCATGCCATGTCGATGTTATGTCTATGTCACAGATTTGGACGACACTTACACCAACTTTACGTACGTTAACGTCTCTTCCAACTTTCTCTCTCGACTTTTTTCTTCAACGCTAGGAGGCAAGATCTTGAGAGTTGTGGTTGGTTGGTAATCCGCTTATCACGCTTTCCTTATCGTAATGAAGTAGTCGACCCAACTTTCACTCGACATGCACGTGACAGTTATGGTGAAAGCAGGGTCGGTTTTGTTGGCAGGGGTGACTTTTCACCATTTCATCACGGATATAATTGATTGAAGGGATTTGGTTTGCTTCAATTAGATTCATTAGTTTCATCACGTTACGTCCATTAAGCAGGATCCGTGGTTCGCATTGACAGCTCCACGCTACAACTACCCGTTTAATCAATATTGAGCCGTTTTTGGCGACTGAAACAAAGTGGTTGTCTCTCCTGGAAGTGATGGATGGTAATTTCATATGACACGTTATTTTCCAGGTACATGGATACAAGAAGATGGAGAAATAACGAAAAGTGAAAGCGTCTCTGTGTCTCTTTCACTTGAGCGTTTAATATTTGGATGTCGATGTCACATCACGTCACGGCAGGAAGATATTCCGTTCACAGACATGTGGAGGGGTAACAAGCAGCAGAAGAGTGGTAACCTCATGTCCCAACGAGCAAGGAGGAGTGGAGAAAGCCATTATTGATACTTCATCTCATGCTGTTTGTCGCAAATTTAGCTTGGTTTACTTCACAAATAAGTACTAACTCGCATAAAATAGTCAAACCTACATTAATAATTCTCTTCTTTGTAGTGATAATTAATTGATCTCACCGCTTTGGTTTGGTTTGCTTTCTCCGACGGAAATTGATTTGTGCGTGGGCAGCAAGAGTGGAGATTTACTTATTTAGCGAGTAAACATATGTATGTATCACAGGGAAAATGTAACCGGAAACTTTTCATTCCCGTTTTTTTATTTTATTTTTAACGCAATAATGACGACAACCCACACTTTCACCACGAACGGTGGGTGGACGTGGATAAGGAGAAGATGGGATCCTATTTTCTGTGAAAGACGAGAGGCAGATTGTTGCATCTACCACCCACCACCACCACTACCACGAACTACTACTTACTACCCGTCCCGTTGTCAATAAAAAACGTGCGGTTTCTTGGCCGTCTTCTTCTTCTTTCTGTTGAACGTCAACGTATGGAAGTTAGCAGAGTGGGTGAGCGAGTGGTGCCTGATTCCAGTGTGAGAAAGTGCACTTTCACCCAGCACGATCCCCTTTTTATTTTTTCACCTTGTTCACTTAATAATACCGTGATGATAATGATGATTCAGTGGTGAAAGATGAGAGTCGTGGCTTCTTCTATATTTTGTGAACTTGACTCAATTGTATCCCCGCTTTCTCTACTACGATATGTCGAGTTGTTGCATGTTGGTTATCTCCTTGTTGGCTCTCGTTGATGTCTGTGTCGGTCTGGCGAGACTCAGCTCATCCAAGTCCCAGAGCAGAAAGAGAGAGAAAGCGAGAAGTGAAAGCAGAGAGTTTGAAAGAGAAATCGATGAAACTTTATTGGGAGGCGAGTCTCTCTGGTATGGTGAAAGCGGGCGAGAGAGCTGCTGGCATGGAATGGACCGGAGCTGGAAATCTCGCTCTTCTCAACCCTTGCATGCTTTCTCTGGAGCTCACATATATGTACGCACGGCAACCAAACCACCTCGGCTTTCTCTACACATTGGAAGGCAGGCAAGGCACTCAAAAACGAAAACGACTCACTCTCTCCATCCAGTTTTACTTTCTCCGGTGTGTATGTGTAGATTCACGTTTGGATCCAAAACATTCCATCACACGAGAAACACAATGCTTTCTCCTTAATGTTGCTGTTGCTGCTTTCTCATTTTTTCAGATCACAGACACCAAGTGAATAAGAATTCTGCCATAATTTCGAGTTATTGTCTCCAAAAGTAAGTTTGTGGCGTTTTAAAAAAATTCTTGTAAATATTGTTCTACGAAAGGCTTACGAGGTAAAAAAACAATAACAATATGTCACAATTCGTTCGTGTCAGTTATTTGTAAAATGTAAAGTTTTTACTGGAAGACGTCTCTACACATTTGTTGGGGAGAAGGAAAGTTTTTTTTATCTTGGAGAAAGCAAGTGTATTATGGGAAGAAGCAGTGGCCGCGGAAGCTGCGGGGACATTAACATTGTAGGATAGGGGAGGGAGGGGTTTGTATAAGATGGGGAGATGATGCGGACATCGAATAACCGTGGGGACATTGTCTCCACCCTTCCGCGGGCACTGGGAAGAAGTTATACATATTGTTTTTATTCTCTACGCTTACTCTTACTTCCTTCCTTTCTGTATTTATTCCGCTCTGTCTATTTGTATGCTAACTAACTAACGTAACGTAACGTAAATTCGTGTGTCTATAAACTTTCTCTCTCTGTGTGTACTTTCACCCCGTGAAGAATATAATAATCAGCACGCTGAGTGGCTGGCTACAAGGGTGAAATAGACAGCAGCACCAGCACCCAACCAACCAACCAACTGTCAAAGGAACGAGTTAGGTTGATTTCCTTTCTCGTTTGAAGAATTTCCGACTCTGATGTGAGAAGGAGACCCGATTTGGAATTAGATTCTGTAGATCTCCCACTGCACCGCACATACACCAGCACCTTTCGAAACTCGATTCGTACTTTCCTAGTGTTCGAATCCTTTTAACAAAAGGTCATATCACTCACAACTCGACTTTCAGACGTCTTTACAGAGTTGATTTTCAAGCCGGAGAAGTCGTCATCATCATCATCATCGAAGAAGAAGTCGTCAAGACTAAAAAACCTCATCAGAGGAAAAGAGAAGGTTTTCTGAATGGATTCAAGGAAATCTGATAGTGAATATTTTTAATTAAATTTCTTGATTTTTTTGACACCCCGTGAGAACGAAGCAGGGCACTTTTCTACCTTCATGTTGAGAGAGAAAGAGAGATCAAATATTGGATTGAATTTAAGTATATTTTTATTCGAAAACTCACTCGTTTAAAAAAAGAAAACTTGGCAAAGAAGAAAAATACAATTAACAATTGTATTCCGAATGAGTGATCATTCCTGGTTTTCTTTGTTATTCCGAGAAGCGGAAACATCCTGCTACATTAATCGGAATCAAAACCGATATTTGTATCTGGCCACTTTCTCCTGGGGAAGATATAGAACTTATCTGTTTAGCAGGGTTTCGTTTCTTGTGTGTTTACTGTATAAATGCAAGAAATGCAAGGTGCAAGAAATATGCGCCCTACAAAGTGCAGAAACGAGATGTAATTTCTTGCCCCTTGCATTTCTAGCAGGTCAAAATATTTCCCCCCAAAAAAACCACTTTCTCCCCATTATTTCTTGCAACTTGTTACTTTCACCCGAAACACTGCCGTTAAGAAAACAAAGGAGGAAGATGCTTTCCTTTTTTGCGAGTGGGTAGGCGAGCCGTGGTGGCCCTTGTAGAAAATGGAAATTAACTTCTAATCATCATTATCCAACATGATCATCCATCATAGGCTAATAATCCTGGTGCTCTCTGCCTCCCCAAACTTGCACAAAATACATACCACACTCTACTCCAATCCACCCATCCACCCCGCCGTGAAGATGAAGAGGACGGACGGCCGGTCGGTGTGTAGCCAAACCAATATTTCACCGCAATGCGATCTTGATTTCGTCCCATGCTGCATTCCACCCACCCACCCGGATCCTAATATCCACTCGAGTAAGGACAGTGGCCGCGGAAGCGGTGGGGACATGTGGGGACACCAATATTGTGGGATAGGGGAGGGAGGGGTTTATATAAGATGGGGAGATGATGCGGACATCGAACAACCGTGGGAAGATTGTCCCTCCGTCCACTCCCAGGCTTCCGCGGCCACTGAGTGAGGATCAGATTTGGCCCACACAGCAATAGAACCACTTTCAGGATGCCAAGCCAAACTTGAACCAGACAAGACAAACATTATTAATGTTAAGTCATAACTTATCCCTTTTTCCTGCCGAGAGGGGAGCAACAGTGGAGAATTTCATTACAGGAAAAGAAAAGAGAAAGTAGATGCAACTGGTCCCTTCCTCCTCTTTCCCGTGATCTTCTTCTTCCTCGCAATGCACTTTATTCCTTCCTCCTTGGTCGATAAAGGACTTTATTTCATTTCTAAATTTCAAAGAAAACATTAGCCTTCATAATGGCGGAGATAGCATTGCTCGACTCTCGACTAAATTAATTTCCCACTGGAAATATTTCCATTTCTGGAGAAAGCTGGGTGGATGGGTGCGGGTGGTGAAAGTGAAAATGAAAATGGAGAAAGTTTTCAAGAATACTGTTAGTTAGTCCTGGTTACAGTATTAGCTTTGTAAGAAGTGGCCGCGGAAGGGGGGGGGACAGAGGGGTAATGTCCCCAGGGTTTTTCGATATCTTTATCACCTGCCCATGTACTGTTAAAAATCTGGTAGAATTACATATATACTCCGCATTGGTATTGATTTGATAATAATTTCTTACCGGATTGGTATTAGTTTGTCTCATAGTGGTAAATTTTTCATTACCACAATATTACTGAACGGTAATGTAACTTTTTACTGAATTCGGCAACGTCGGTAACTTTTTACCGAATTTATAGTAGTTTGTTTCTGAGTGTTAAATTTTTTATTACCCGTTATTACCAGTACCGGTAGAATCAAATGTCTAGTCCGGTCAGTAATGATTCAATACCAGTTTTCTAAGGGTGTGTCCCCAGAATTGTCCCCACACAGCCCCCGCGGCCACTGCTTACAAACTGTATATATGTATGCATTAAGGGGCCATGTACGAAGAAATAGTCATCAGACGTGCTAATGCCGTTAAGCTGCCAGCACGAGGCTTGGGACTAATAGCAATAACCGCAGAAAATACACTACCACCCGCCCACCCACCCACCAACCAACGAACCTTATCAGGCACTCGAGAACCATGTACCACGTCCCGTTCGCTCCCTGTTCTCTCGTGGAATTCCAAATTTTGGCTTAAAGTCGTTCCATGAATGCTCATTCAATAAAGAAGTTGTACTACTACTACGAAATCTAAAAACAGGATTCGTTCGTAGGCGGAGATTCGATCTGGCAAAGACAACTGGATTGGGGAGCAAATGAACCATTTGTTTAAATTGGAAAGTTAGCTTTTACTTTGGCGTAATAGTAAATCCTTCAACCATGGAGGCAATTAAGACCGCAGAGGATAATGAAAAGGTCAATCATTTCACAATTATATGTGCCATGGGTCTAAATAGAGGATGAGAATGATAATAACGGAAAAGCAGACTGTGGTCGTAATCATGGTTCAATTCTGTTCAATCCTGGGTAAACAGGGGCCGCGGAAGGGGGAGGACAGAGGGGCAATGTTCCCAGTTGCATAAACCCCTCTCTTCCCTATTCTACAATGTTAACCTCTTTCGTATTACGGATTTTCTAATAAAATTTTCCTTTGGTACGATGTTGATTTCACCTGTCAGTAACCAATTAAATAAAATTTTTAACCAGTTTCCAATTTTTTAGTTTATTTTACCAAAACCATGAAAAATCCCATTTTTAACATTGGTCGGTATAGGGAAAATTCCAAAATTTGGGAAGAACATTTCCACTTTTTACCATCGAGTTTTCCACAAAATGCAAAAGAATTGCTCATTTTTTAAAAGAAATTTTGGTTTCAGACTAATTTATGCAGGATGCACACTTCTATTTCGTCTTAAATGAACAACAAAATACCACACAAACATGTGTACTTCGTCGTTAAGAGGTTAATGTCCCTACATGTCCCCACACAGCTTCCGCGGCCACTCTGGCTAAAAGCCTGGTTTGAGAATCAGGACTGAAGAATTTATGATTGGAGGAGCAAACCAGCGACCGCAAGTTAGAATTCGTAAGTGCTCCAAGGTATGTATGTGTTCATGTATGAGTACATCCAGTGGCCGCGGAAGCCGTGGGGGCATCTGGGGACATTACCATTGTAGGATAAGGGGAGGGCCGGGTTTATATAAGATGGGGACATCGACGATGCCGACATCGAACCACCGTGGGGACATTGTCACTCTTCCGCGGCCACTGTGCATGTCCCACACACACACATCTCGAGATAGGTGCCGTGGTCTCCTAAATTTCCGCCGCAGCTTCAACAACATAATCCAATCCGGCCGACTCCTCTCAACATTCATCATCCTTTTACTACTACTTTTCTTGTTCCCTGTTCATCCAATCCGATCCGCTTTGAAATCCGAAAGTAAATCCACAAGTTGAGGAGTGATGTGGATGAATCTATGTACGAGGAGGAGGAGGAGGTAAACATATTGGATATGCTGCACTTCTCGGCTGTCTGACCGAGTTAACCTACATAGGTCGACGAGAAATGGGACGGAATAGAGCACAGGGTGATGCAATTGGTTAAGTCATTCGAGGATATAAATCTCAAAATCAAATAAAACCGTGA